TATCCATCTCCTACCCTTGGGTCACTGTATCCAAGATTCAGATTAGCTTGGAGAAGAGAGGGAGGGAGAATAATTTAGTTGAACCCTATGTCCAATCCTTGGCTAAGGAAAGTCAAGACACCTGGATTGACAGTTCCCACCAAGACAGTACACAACTAAGACCAGGTAATTTCCTAAAGGAAAATCTGTTCTTAGGACAGCCCTGTAAAATAAGTACTGTCTTTATTATCCCTATTTTATAGATAAGGAAACAGACATAGAAAAATAAAATTTTTTGGGGGGGGGTACTGGGGATTGAACTTGGGGTACGCCTGTGGTCACATAGCTGGTAAGTGGCAGGGCTGAGATACAAACGAAGGCAGGCTGGCTTGAGTTTATGCACTCACGCCACCACACACAGGCTTCTCCAGGAGAAGAGGGGATACATACAGGGTAGGTAGAAGCACATGGTTCCTTGAAATTATCACTCAGGGATTACAGAAAACTTTATTCTTGTACAACCATTTTAGTCATCATGTATTAACAAGCAAAGGGGTGGGGAGACAGGCAGACAAATGCGCCCCCCCACCCCCGCATGCTCATACAGTGATTGATTTCTGTTTTCGAAATTAAAAAAAAAAAGTCTGTTTAGCCAATAAGAAAAAGGGAAGGACATCAACTATGGTGATCTCACTCTCTCCCAACCACAGAGAAGATTGTGAACTATCTAGGACCCAGGGGAATTCCAGCTGTCACCAGGCTACACTAGCCTTGGTGGAGAAAACCCAGGGAATCAGAGAAACATTATCCGTCACAAATGCGCTGTACTAGACCGGGATGAGAGGAATGCTAGCAGTTTGGTGAGTGAATTGAAGTGACCACTCTCTACCCTCACAGGAACTCTACCAGGCCTCATTTCCCTCCATGACCTCTTTTGGGGTCTCCTGCACAACCATGCTCTCTTTCTTGGCAGTTTGCTCTGCCTTCCTCATTCTACATAGAACTGGTGTTCACCAAGACTCCACCCCTGAGAACAGCAAGGCCATGACATAGTCTCAGAACTTAAGCCACAACTCTCTGGTTTAACCTCCAGCTACACAACATAGTCGTGTCACTATTCCTTCCCAGGCACACAGAATGGTCCGTGATTAGGAGTATGGGCCTTGGAGTCAGACCTAGGATGGAATCCCAGTTCTGCTGCTAATGAACCGTGTTAAAATGAGCAAGTTATCTAACCCCTCTGAACCTCCATCCACTGTCATGAAATAAAGGGGCTGAAATTCTGTTCTTATGCACCAGCACAGCTAAACTGGTTGTGAAAACATCAAAATACTTCCACATTGATTGGTAAATAGACAATCATATCCTTTGGCTTCAGAGGACCCTGACATCTCCCCTGTTTGCCTTATTTGATCCAATAATTCTTGTTAACTCTTCCCCAGAACAGAGAGCTACCAAGACCTTGATCTAGCACTAAGACCAGCATGCATTCTGATTGGTAATGCTGAAGATGGAATGGCTTGTTAGATATTTTAAATACTAACCCCGAGAATGGTCATCTTTAGGATACAATGAGAAGATTCAGATAAAGGACATGGCAGAGAGTTTGGTGCACAGTGAATAACTCAGTCAATGTCAGCTATTATTGCTTTAAACATCAAACCTAAGGGACCCAGGGTCTCAGAGTTGAGCATTGTAAGCAGGTACAGATGGGCTCATGAATAGTCTCTGGGCCTCAAGATGATTCAGGGGTGAGGCTGCATGGGTGGTCCTGCCCAGTAGATGGGGACAGGCCAGGTGCAGTGGTGATGCCTGTAATCCCAGTGACTCAAGAAGCTGAAGCAGGAGGATGGTGAGTTCAAGGGCAGTCTCAGCAAACTATCAAGTCTCTAAGGAACTTTGTGAGTTTGTGGTAAAGTGCTCCTTGGTTCAATTCCTTGTACCTCCAAAATATAAAAAATGGGGATGATCAGGAGAACCACATATTGGCTCTCTTGCCATTTAGGAGGACCTATCCTCACTAATACCAGCTCTTTTATGTTATTGGAATCCTATGTCTTACTTGCCTGAGAATGAGAAGCTCTTTTCAGGAGTTTTCTAATGCCTTGGGGAATCACATATGAATATTCCAATCCAAGGAATTGAAGGACCTTAAGGAAGCAGTATTGTGTACGGCTAGGACTGACTGCATAGGTTCAAATCCCAGCTCTGTAGACTTCCTTGCTATGTGAACTTGGGGCAATTACCTAACTATTCTTGGCTTCCATTTCCTTATTTGTTAAGTGGGGTAATAATAGGGCCTGTCTGATAGAGTTATTATTGGGAGTAAATTAAGTAATATGCATATATATTGTAGTTCCTCTTTATCCATGAGGAATATATTTCAAGACTCTAAGAAGATGTCTGAACTGCAGATGTATAGAACCCTATAATTTAATGCCTGTTTCATTTTAACTAAGCCACGACTTTTGTAGTTTGAGGTACAAAAGCAAAATTAACACTCATTTCTTTTCCTTTCTTCACATTTCATGGATAGAAGAATCATTCTTGTTATAGCTCTTTTTTTTTTAAAGAGAGAGGGAGAGAGAGAATTTTTTTTTATATTTATTTCTTTTTTTTTTTTAGTTCTCAGCAGACACAACATCTTTGTTTGTATGTGGTGCTGAGGATCGAACCCGGGCCGCACGCATGGCAGGCGAGCGCGCTACCGCTTGAGCCCCCTTGTTACAGCTCTTAACAATCAGCATACAATTTTGTTAAGTCAAGAATTTTCACCTTTTTACTTAAAGAACATCTTTTATAGATTCTCTTTGGCATACCCAAAATGCCAGCATCACTACTCTGGTTGCAGCTATTATTAAGTAAAATAAGGATAACTTGAAACCAAGCACTATGATAACTCACTAACTATAACGAACAGGCAGATTGTATATGTAGCATGGATACATTGGACAAAAGGATAATTCTTGTCCAAGGCAGGATGGAGAGATGGAGAGGGATGGCATGAGATTTCATCATGTTACTCAGAACAGAGTACAATTTAAAACTTACAAATTTTTTATTTCTGAAACTTTCTATTTAATATTTTCAGACTATGATTGACTGCAGGTAACTAAAACCACAGAAAGCAAAAACACCAGTAAAGGGGACTACTGTAAAGTTCTAGAATAGCACCTGGCACAAAGTAAGCTCTCAATATGTTGCCTAGTGGTAACATTAGCACCTGCCTCATAGAGGTTCAGTCCCATCTAACTCTGTTCAGTGTGATACTTTCTTTAAACTCCGACTTGAAATTCTTCCCCTATTCCACTGGATCTTCTGTACTAGCTCCCACATTTTGCAGACTAGGAGACCCAGAGTGAGAAAGGTCCTGCTCATGGTCACATATAGAAGCATCTGCAAAAATGGGACTCCAAATTTTAGGGTTTCAGATACTATTTCCAGCAAATGCTGCCTATCCCCACTTCCTTGTGCCTTGTACTATGGTTAACTAAAAGCAGGACAGTTTCTGCCCACCTCTGGGTCCCCAGGGCCCAGAGCAGAGGAGTTGCCTGGAAAGCAAAAGAGGGCTTTCTAACACCTGTCCCTTATAGTCACCAACAAAAGGTACCAGAGAGGTGCCTCCTGTCTGGAGGGGCAGGCCCCTAGCTCCCTGCTAGACTCCAGCGAGGAGCCCCTAAACCCCAGCTAGGGCCCCAGAGAGACCCATAGAGACACATCATGCAGCCAGGAGAATGGGACAGTAAAATCAAGGCAGGAACGGGGCCTATTGGTTCCTCTCCAGCCTGCCTGTCCTGGAGGTTTCTGGATCAGCCCCAGAAACCTCATCTCCACTGGTGACAGGCCTGTCCCCATCCCCCATTGCCCTCCCAATTCTACATTTGCTGCTTGGACAGAAGACCTGCTTCTTAGCATCTGCGATCCCATTCGACCAATCTCCCGGCATCCCGCCCCACTTTTGATAGATCCCTACAAGGCCCTCCCTCGCACGTGGCCCAGCCCAGGCATTTCTGCTCGCCTTTCACCCCCACTTTGGCATAAAAGGGTTCCTTTCTACCTCCTTAAGTTGTGAGCCCTCACACTCCGGTGCTGCCTGAATAGCGTGGCCAGGCTTTGGGGAGACCCCCAAACGCGGGGAGGAGGTGTTCCCGGGGCCCTGAAACCTTCCAGACCCGCTCAGTGTAAACCGCCTCGGGTTTGTGTCAACATCCGAAGCCGGAGACTGGCGGCGGCTGGGGACAGGCTCCATCTAGGGCAGGGAACACCGGAGGGTGGGGAATGCAGGGGTCCTTGAGGTAGGTAGAGGGGTCCTTCTACGAGACAATACGAGAGGCCTTTTGGGGGTCTTCCAGAAATAAGGATAGAGCTTGTCTGAGAAGGGATGGAATTAAGAGCTGCCGAGGTAGTCTAGCTTGGGGACAGGTAGAGGTTGAATATTCACCATCCATACTGCGCTCTGTGCGTACACCTACCCTCCTCTCTGTTTCACGGAGGGAGGAGAGTGGGTTATGGGGGACAGGTGATGCAAAGGCATGAGCTGCTGACCATCCCATCTCTTCTCTCCCCCACCTGTCACTCGGCACTGCTCGTTTTCTCTCTCCAGTTTCGGGTGGGATATGGGGGGGGGTCTCATCTTGTGAGTCATCCCCTCTTCCACCCCCACCCCCGCTGGGGCCCAGGAAGCGAGGGCTTCGAGATTCGGCTGTGGTTCTCTCGTTTCCATAGCAACGGTGCGGTTGTTTTTGTGAATCCACTTCAATTGTCAGTAGTTTTCACCCCAGACTGTGACCCGGGGTCTGAGCCTCAGGGAAGGGGTAAAGATAGGGGTACAGTCCTCCGGCATCCTGGAGACTCCGAGAAGGTCAGCGCTGGCGGGCGGGGCGCGCTTCTGTGGCTGGGCCTCACTGTCCACCCCATCCCCACCTGAAACCCCGCCTGCCATTCGGCCCCGCAGAGCCAATCGACGTCCAAGTTGCCCGGGGTAGGGCGGGGCTTATGCAAATCGTGTCGCCTTCCAGGGGCACATAGTGATACAAGAGCTGGGAGGCGGCTCCGGCGTGGACCTTGGGAAGCCCAGCTGCCCGCCCGCGAGCCAGCCTAGCCTCCGCGGCCCGCCGAGGCTCAGAGCGATCCGGAGACCCGGCGAGCGGCCTCAGGTAACGCGGGTGGGGCCGGGCCCTCTGAGCAACCCCGCTGGGCGGATGCCCTAGACCCCTCCCCCTCCACTCTTCCTCTGCAACCTGTTCTTCTGTCCCCTAATTCTTCTCCCGATCCTGGGTCCTCCATAAGTAGTAGCATCTGGAGGACCGGGAGCAGGGGATCTCCACCTCAGACGCAGTCCTCTGGTGCAAGGAAGGAAGCCGCCTCGTTACCCCCAGCTCAGGTAAGAACATCCATTGCTCTGGCTCCCAGGGCTCACAGGCTCACACATACACCTACCTGGGGGCGTGGGGGTGTGGTGGTGGTGGTGCTAGAGGCACCAGTCACCCTCCTGTTGCCTTTGGAGATGGCTAGTCTGCCTAGCCCCATGGCAACCTCCCACCTCCAGAGAGTCCCCACCAGCTCCTCCGGCAACTCATCGCCCTTCACACCATGGGCTCTGTCCCCAAAGACAGCCCACCTCCACAGGGCGCCCACTCCCTGCTTACATTGTCACCACTTCCCATCCCTCAAGCTGACAGCTCCCAGCATACCTGAAGGAGAGAAGAAGCACCCTCCCACCCAGACATTCTCTCAGCAGCCCACCTCCAGTGGTCCCCAGTACTAGGCAGAAGTCCCCATATTTGGTCTCTTTTTTCTGGATGGAGGATGAACCAGGGATGCCACCCCACAGTAGACTATCCTTACCCTGTCACTGGCTGCCAAGGCTTCAGCTTCCATACTTCCTTCTCCTCTCACCCCTCACAACCAAAGAACCAAGTCCTCTCATTCCACCTCTCAAATATCTAATCTGTATCTCTCTAGCCTTCCTAAGCCTTGTTGCTCCCTCTCTTGTCTTCCTGCCATTCTTCAGGGACCATGCCAAAATTCCATGTGCACTGTGTCATTCCTTTCCCTAAGGTGGCTTGAACCTGGAAGGCAGAAGAGCTAGGTGCAAATCTTGCCTTTGCCTCAGTGGTTATTTGACCCTGGTCAAGTCACTTTACTCTCTGATCTTTGGTAGAATGGTAAGGTGGCAGACACAGGATAGATGATCTTGAATAGCCTTCCAGCACTGACACATTCTGGTTCTATGGCTGATTATGGGAAAATAGGGCTCTGAACCATAAGGATATTTCACAAAGGAGGCCTGGACAACTTCAGTCCTCGCTGAAGGGACATTACTTCTTACCCAGGCCTAGATACAGGCCACCTCCTTCAGGCCCCTTCTCTTAGGGAGTCTCTCCTAGACTACTAGTCCACCCTGATTTGGACAGCTCCAAATAGGAGGTGACCAATAGAGCTCACCCTTTATTTTTCACACCCTGCCTCTCATGAAGAAAGAGAGGGAGAAGACCTGGCAGCAGCTGTTATTGCTGCTGCTTGAAGAAGAGCAAAGGGAGGAGAGCAAAGAGAAAATTTCCTGACCAGGGAGCTGTTGTCACCATAGCAACCGCCTCAGCACCAGCTTCTCTGAAGCTGGGCGAGGGTGTGGGATTATTGCCTCCTTCAGTCCCTCCCACCCTCACTGCCACCTCTCCACTCGAAGCCCATAACCCTGAGCCCTCTAGAAGAAACCTCTAAGCACAGAGGAGCAACAGTTTTGTGTTTGGGGGCAGTGCCAGCTTCTCAGCTGGAGCACAGCTCTCCAGAGGCCATGGCTCCAACAGAATATGCCCCAAGCTAGGTTCTGGCCTTTGCTTTGCTGCTGATGGGCTCTAGTTGACCTTGGATGAACCCTTCCTTTCCCTGGCTCTGGGTTCCATTGTCTCTAAAGTGGGTACCATAGAAAAAGCACAGGTAAACAAGACAATGTATTGGGGCTGGGAATATAGCTCAGTTGGTAGAGTGCTTGCCGTGCATGCACAAGGCCCTGGATTTGATCCCCAGCACCCCTCCCCCCAAAAAAAGACAGTGTGACATAGTTACAAGGAAGAAAGGGGCTCTGCTCTTCTCACATAATCTACTAAGAGATGTTCATTGAACATGGCTGAGTCCTGGGCAGTGCCTCCAAGCCTCTGCAGGGTGCTACATATATGCATATCGGACAGAGAACTGCGGGGGAGAGGTATAAGAGGGCAGATTCAGGAACAATGGGAAGAGCACTTTTCTCAGTAACCAAGCTTTTCAAAAGTGGTCTGGGTCCTACTGTGTAGGGATAAGCTCCTTACCATTGAGCAAAAGTCCTGGGGAACTTTTCCTGGCTCAGGAAAGGCCTCCCCTGGAATCCTTGAGCACCAGGTGAGGTCTCTGCTACAGAGTCATAGGGCGCACAGTCTTTTGGTACCCAGAGTGCTGAGCCTGTGCTGCTGCCTACCCACTGTCCAGGATGGAAAAGGATAATCATCAGGAATTGGGCCCTGAAGGCTGACTGTAGCTTTGTGTCAGCCCAGAAGAGAAAAAGGATGGTGGAGGAAAGGAAATTAGCCAAACAAATAGGTGAGGTCTATTCTGTCTGTGAGAAGTCTGGCTTGAGAGTATGTGGCAGTGAGGGGAGCAATGGGAGGTAAGGTGAGATAGGTGAGCATCCTGAAACCAGATTTTAGAAGATTCTGGAGTTTCAAAGGGCCAACGAACATGGCTGCCTCTGCCCTTATTGTAACTCAGGGGCTGGGTGTACTTCCTCAGAACAGAAGAGTCAGAGGGAAGGCACTTCCTGTGAGGCAGGTGAACCCCTTGGGCATGGGCCTGGCTTGGCATGTGGAACACCATCTGGATTTCTGCCCCTGGACATGGATAGTGAATGTTTCGGGAGTGTTTCAAAGAAAGAAACCAGCCTGAGGCAAGAGAATTGCAAGTACAAAGCCAGCCTCTGGAACTTAGCGAAACCCTAAGCAACTTAGCAAGATCCTGCCTCAAAATAAAAGTAATAAGCCTGGGGATGTGGCTCAGTGGTTAATCACACTTAGGTTCAATCCCCAGTACCAATAATAATAAGAATAAACCACAGAGCCAGGTGCAGTGGTGCATGCCTGCAATCCCAATTACTTGTGAGGCTGAGTCAGTAGGATTGCAAGTTTGAGGCCAACCTGGGCAATTTAGCAAGAGCCTTTCTCAAAATAAAAATTAAAGAAGGTTGTAGATGAACCTCAGTCCTTACATGGTTCACAGGAGTCCCTGGGTTCAACTCCCAACACATAAAGGGGTGGGGAGGGAGAAAGGAAGGAAGGAAGAGGACTTGATGGCAAATTTGATCTGGGTTTGAAAAGAAAGAGGGAAAAACTGAAATAGTTTTACAGGTCATGGTCCCCCCACCTCTGCCAACCCCAGGAATGAGGAGAGAGAACAGATTCAATTGAGAGGATAAATAGTCCCAAGTCCAGGGTGAGTTTGGCTATAGACAGATTGACTCAGAAATGCTGGGGGAATCAACTCTAGTGTGGATATTTCCTGGGTATCAGAGACTATGGCCTGGAGTTCAGGCAAGATGGTCTCACTGAGGCAAAAGGAAGATCAGAGTGGATTTTTCCAGAAGCCAGGTAGGGGTGGAGAAAGTCTGAGCTGAGCACAATTAGCCATGATGTATGGAGGATGGTACAGGCAGGTGGCAAGGATTCAGCTTGGGCGCTGACCTGCTGGGTAACCCTGAGCCAGTTTTTCCCTCTCACTTGATTTCAGTTTTCACTAAAATAAGGGGATGAGCTTAAAGGATGATCGCCAGCTTTCATCTTCTGACCAAGAAGAGCAAAGGAGAGGAGCAGAAATAAAGGAAGAATCCTGGTCCTCATTGGGTCTGGGACCCAGTAGAGGCAAAGAGGAGACAGAACTGTGGGAAATATAGCGCAAGGCAGGGAGGAGAAAGAGGGCAGCAGGTGAGGGCCACACAGGCACCAGGACACACACAGAGACATGTGTGCTCTGACAGATTTGCAGCCTGATACAATGACATCCTCCCACGTACCTACTCAGCCCCTCACGCAGACACTCAGACACATGCCACAGAAGACAATGGAGAAAAGCTGTGCCTCCCCCAACAGACACCTCTGTCTCTGGGTTCTCCAGCTTCCTTGCTGATACCCTGAGACTACAGAATCTTTGGACTGGGGAGGGGGCAGCTAAGTATGAACTCTGCCTCCTTTTGCCCATGAGTGTCCCAGAAGCACCCTTGTCTCTGGCCCCAATGCAGCTCTTTAGGACCTCATAGACCCAGGTTCCTGAAGATGGTGTGCCTCACCCCCCTCTCTCACCCTATGCAGCTTTTTACTGCATAGGACTCCTCATTCTCTGGGGGTGGTAGGTGGGGAAGGATGTTGCCACTTTTATTGCTCCCTGATCTTCCTCATGGCCCAGCGGGGGAACCTGGGGCCCAGAGATATCCTGTAACTAGCTTAAGGTTACACAGCAAAGGAGGTTGGGGGGGAACATACCAAACTCAGATCAGGTGGCTGACAGCCTGGCTTCCCTCCAGAGAGACTCTAAGCAGGTCAAAATTACCTCCCAGGTTTTTTTTTTTTTTTTAATTTTCTTAGTTGTAGATGGGCATAGTACCATAATTTTATTTGTTGATTTATTTTTTATGCAGTGCCGCAGATTGAACCCAGTGCCTCACACATGCTACACAAGTGCTCTACCATGGAGCTACATCCCAAGACCCAACCTCCCAGATTGTGTCCTGGGAAACCCAGGTTCTGAGGGACATTTCTCCCATGGGAGTCAGATAGGAGTGCCCACCCACACTTCAGGGCCTGGCTACCCTCTACAAATGCTTTCCCTTGTACAGGTCACTAGAGGGGCTCCCATCCCAGTGTGGGATGGATTTGATCCTCCCCAAGCCTGCTTCTCAACAAAACACCTCCATCTATTCAGTCCCAAATGTGAGCATTTGCCTTAATGCTTTCTGTGCCCTTCTTACTCCTCCATTCAACCAGTCACCAAGCCCTGCCAATGTCCCCTTCTGACATCTCCTGATTCATCCACATGTCTCCACAGCGCCTGCCCTAGCATAATTATGTCACCTAAACTGTGTGGCAGGCCCCCCCCTGCTCTACCTACCCCCATCCTAAGTTATTTTGCATACTATAGCCAAAGAAAAATTCCAAAATGCATCCCTTCTTTCTAGATCCTCAGCACGTGGCATATTGAAACATCTTTTAAGTGTTGTTAGTTTCAAAGTCCTTGGTTTTAAAGCCCCAGGTTCTGTTTCCTATAGGTAAAGTCAAATTCCTTGACATGGGTTGAAAGCCCCAGTCTTCTACCCAATTAACCCAATTATGAGTTATTGAAGGCTTGTATTGTGTTTATCTCCCTCCCTAGCACAAGGCCTAGCACACATAGTCAGCCTCAAAAAGTGCTATGGGAATGAATGGGTTAATGAAAATTGATGTAATCAGGGTCATCAATGCTCCAGGCTAAGATTTTCTATTTGTACACAGGAAAGAGGAAGAGAAGCTTCCTGCTAGGGTGGCCCAGGAAGGCCTTGAGAAAGAACTTGTGAGACAGAGCCAGGGGGTCACACTAGGAACCTGCCTCAGGTCCCTGGTAGGACAGCAGCCTGCCAAGGAGGGAGGGGACTGAGTGCAGAAAGCTCTGAATAGGAGGGAGAGGAGTTGGGGCTTTATGCTACAGGTGTGGGGAGCTGTAGAAAGTGGAAGAGGAGAGGATGAAAATTGTGGCTTGCGGCAGGACAGCCAGCTGTGAACGGGAAGGCTATGGACCCCCTATGAGGAAGGCCTACTCTGGGATGCAGGATGTTATGGGGAGAAAGGAGGTCCTGTTATGGGGAAGTGTCCCAAAGGGAAAAAACCCTTCCATGTAGGGGGAGAAGAGATCACTGTGGGGGTGGGGAAGAAGGGAGGGTGGCTTCCTGTAGGAGGGGTGGGTGAAGAACAGCCTGCTGTACCCAGGTGGGGCTTGCTGAGCTGGGTAGACAGAGGAGGGGACCTGTGTGAAAGGAGAGATCCTGGCCATGGAAAGGTCAGATCTTTATGGGAGGGAATGGGGTGCAGAAAGGTGTTGAAGGGGACTTGGGGACCACTCCCGAGGCGAGACTCTTGCTCTGGACTAAGTTGAGGGAGCCCTCTGTCCCCAGGCCCCGCCATGGGGAAGACCAACAGCAAGCTGGCCCCGGAGGTGCTGGAGGACCTGGTTCAGAACACGGAGTTCAGTGAGCAGGAGCTGAAGCAGTGGTACAAGGGCTTCCTGAAGGACTGCCCCAGCGGCATCCTCAACCTGGAGGAGTTCCAGCAGCTCTACATCAAGGTGGGGCGGGGCGCGGTGTCCGGGTACCCAGTTGGAGTACCCAGCTGGAGGAGGATAGGGCGCCCCAGGAGGGTAGAGGCGGTTGGGGGGGGAGGTGGTGGCGAGGCTGCCGCTGCGCCCCAACCCCTCCCACTGGCTCCACAGTTCTTCCCCTACGGCGACGCCTCCAAATTTGCTCAGCACGCCTTCCGCACCTTCGACAAGAATGGCGATGGCACCATTGACTTCCGGGAGTTCATCTGCGCCCTGTCGGTCACCTCCCGCGGCAGCTTTGAGCAAAAGCTCAACTGGGCCTTTGAGATGTACGACCTGGACGGCGACGGGCGCATCACGCGCCTGGAGATGCTGGAGATCATCGAGGTGCGCTGGGAAGGGCTAGGCCTGGCGGGCCCGGTGGGCGTCCCTGACTCAGTGTCCCTAGGCTTCTCCTGCCATCCTCCCTTAGGCCTCGCTGCTGGGTTCCCAGCTCGCTCATACCTGCTTCTCAGGATCGGGTCTTGATAGGGTAGATGTTGTCAGAATCTCCGTTTTACAGAGGAGGAAAACGAAGCAAGTAGCAGTTCCTGATTCAAATCCAGAGTACCTGGCTCCAGAGCCTAATTAATTCTATTGATTGACTGATTGTACCAAGGATTGAATCCAGGGATGCTTAACCCCTGAGCCACATCCCCAGACCTTTTTATTTTTTGAGACAGGGTCTTGCTAAATTTCTTAAATTACTGAGGCTGGCTTTGAGCTTGAGATCCTCCGGCCTCAGCCTTCTGAGTCTCTGGGATTACCGGTGTGTGCCATAACGGCTGTTCAGAGCCTAAATTCTTAACTCATTTATTCTTTCAACAAATAAATATTGAGTATCACCAGCAGCAGGGCACTGTTCATGGGAGATTCCTTCTAGAGAACTAAGTCCTCTAGAGAACTTAGAGAAATATATCAATAAACTTGTGTTGGTCCGGCAGCAAGTGCTGTGAAGGGAATAATCAAAGTAAGGGGAGAGAACAATGGAGGAAAAGTGATTTTACATCAGGTGAAAAGTGAGCAGCAACTTGAATAAGGCAAGGGAGCAGAAGGAAAATAAATGTAGGTGAGATGGTGTTTGCAAGGCTCAAGGAGGAGCAGGAGGCTGAATCCTTGGAGAGGAGTGGAGTGGAGAGTGATAGGAAAGTGGTCTGATAGGGAGCCAGGAGTAACTCATCCTGTCAGGTGGGTGTGGAGGATAGACCATGACAGGCAGGGAACAGCAGAAGCAGGGAGACCACGTAAGAGCTTTTCACAGTAGTCAAAAGCTGGTGTAGGCTGCAATCATCAAGGAGCTGGGAAAGTGGAAGGAAACGGATGGATGGATATGGGATCTACTGCAAAATTAGAGGCCCACAAGGTTTGCTGAAGGGTGTGTCCATGGGGTGTGAGAAGGAGGGGAATCAAGAATGGCATCAAAGTTTTTGCTCTAACAGCTGGCGGAGTGAAGTTGCCACTTACGGAGATAGGGAACGCTGAGGAAGAACAGGCAGAGGGGTGAAGAGTTGGGTTTGAGACATGCTTGATTTAAGGTTTTTTTTTTTTTGAGAGAGAGAGAGAATTTTTTTTTTTGAGAGAGAGAGAGAGATAGAGAGAGAGAATTTTTTAATATTTATTTTTTAGTTATCGGCGGACACAACATCTTTGTTTGCATGTGGTGCTGAGGATCGAACCCGGGCCGCATGCATGCCAGGCGAGCGCGCTACCGCTTGAGCCACATCCCCAGCCCGAGAATTTTTTTAATATTTATTTTTTTTAGTTTTCGGTGGACACAACATCTTTATTTTATTTTTATGTAGTGCTGAGGATCGAACCCAGTGCTCCGCGCATGCCAGGCAAGCGAGTTACCGCTTGAGCCACATCTCCAGCCTTTGAGGTGTCTTTTTAAAAAATACTTATTTATTTATTTTAGTTTTAGGTGGACACAATACCTTTATTTTTATGTGGTGCTGAGGATTGAACCCAGTGCCTCACGTGTGCTAGGCGAGCGCACTACCACTTGAGCCACAACCCCAGCCCCAATTTGAGGTATCTTAATGACCATATATCACCTCCCAGTATCCTCGCTCCCTCCCGGTATTCTCCCTCCCTTTCTGCAAATGCCTTTTATTTACTCTCGGCCCTCCCTCCCTCTGTGGGTGTTCACACCTCCCTCTTTGCTCCGCCAGGCTATCTATAAGATGGTGGGCACCGTGATCATGATGCGCATGAACCAGGATGGGCTCACACCCCAGCAGCGCGTGGACAAGATTTTCAAGAAGATGGACCAGGATAAGGACGACCATATTACACTGGAGGAGTTCAAGGAGGCAGCCAAAAGCGACCCATCCATTGTGTTGCTGCTGCAGTGTGACATGCAGAAGTAGAGGCTGGTGAGGGGGCAGGACCCCTGGCCAAGAGGGGCATGCCATCTCCCAACCTGGTGACCTCTCTGGCTGGCCCTTCCCCAGGGAAAGGGATACTCCAGCCTCACTTTCTGGCCCACTCACTCCTCTGCCCAAGCCCTTCTTCCCCAGTCAGGTTCCTTGAAGGATCACCTTACCCCCCAAAAGAAACAGGTCCTCGGGTGTATTGTTATCTAGCCTCACCCCTAGCCTTGGCCCAGAACCAACATCAGTTGGGCACAGGGGAGTTGGCTTTGCCCTATGAGGCTTGGTTAAGGAGGGGTGCTGGGGTACTCTTTGAAATCTTATTGTTTCTGGGCTTATGCTTTATAAAATGTGGGTCCCACAGGCCCCAGTCAAAGGGTCAGATTGGATCTGTCCTTTCCGAAGGACCCAGATTCCTTAAAGGTAGTCTCTACCCTACCCCCTCAACTCTACCTGACCCCTCTGGCCCCAGTCCTTTCTTCCCCTGATGTTTATTGAACATTTGTTCAGTGCCATGCACCTTTAGGTGCTAAGAATATGGTAGTTTACAAGACACAGTCTGTACCCTCTGAAAGCTCCTAGCTGGCAATGGGGCATCCTTCAGTGGTCAGGGTCTCAAACAGGAGTGTCAGACATATCTGAGGAGAGGTACAGGAATGCCGGCTAGCTTGAGAGGAGCTGTTGCAGCTTCTAACTAGCTCCATCCAAAGCTGCAGAAGGCTGAAATGAAAAGCACTTAGATGTTTAGGAGCCATGTGAGTGGAAGTTTTAAGGAAAATGAAAATTTATGTAATACTTATTTTTTTAGTACCCTTTAAAAGAGCTAAAGTCATTTTATTAGGTTAGGATATTAAAGATACTCTATATTACTTGGTTTCTTATAAAACGATTAAATGATTATAGATAATGCTAATTTTCAGGGGGAAAAAAGTTGAGATAAAAGGGGAAAATACCACCAGACTTAACAGACAACCCTTTTCTTTGTCAGGCTGAGTCCTGAGCTGTCACCATCAGCAGTTTTTGCTGCTTCCACTGCTTCTTTTTAAATGAACTTTTTTTTTGATTGAACAAGTGAACAAGTAACTCTTTGTTGCCCACTGACTCTGGTTGGGTTCTGGCTTCAGAGAGAGAAATGATGGGTGTGCCAAGAGTGAGACAAGTGTGCATCCCACATCATGGAGGCTTGTTTCTGAATTTGGTTTAGTTTCAGAGATGGCCTTGTTCTTTCACTGCCTTCTATGCAGGAGAAGTGACCACCTGGCCACTGTTTAGGCTTCCAGGCTGCATTTGTGGACCAAATGCCTAAAGGTGTGCTGGGCATGCTCCATTTGAAAGGTTTTTTCTAACTCTCAATCCTAGATCTGCCAGGTAAATTCACCCCTTCCCAAGCGCAAAGGCTTTGCTTTCTGATTTTGAATCCGTGAGATATACAGCTGCATGCTTTGACAGCAAGAAAAATTCTTCTTGCTTCTTCATCAAGTCGTTCATTTTACTGTACTTGTGATCAGAAATTATCTTTGATGTGCAGTGACAGTTGACTTCCTCTTGAACTGCTGGTGAAAACAGTCTAGTATTCAGGTGCTGCCAGCCTAGGGTGGGAGTAGGGAATGATTGCAGTGCCAGCACGCGTGATGGCAGAGTTTGCATCTACAGGAAATAGATGCAGTTCGCCTCTCACTTCTGAGCACTCACCTGTCCTTCCTCTCTACAGGTGGAAACTCTTGGGGATACAAGAGTTTCAGTAATCCCAAGCTCTGTTGGATCTTTCTTTATGTGGCCCTTTGAAGTAACAGGACCACTGGGTTGCCACTCTCTTTCTATCCTGCCGACCACCAAGCGGAAAGATGAGGCTAGGGAATTCACATTGTTAAGCAGTAACTAGGAGGTACTTATCCTGCAATGCCTCCAAGGATGTTCCATTGTTTTCAGGAGCTGAATAGGTGTACCTTGTGCTGTCAGTCAGCAAGCCAGATACAGAATGCTTAACAGCCTGGCTCAGCTGGGACCTGAATCTCTGGTGGAAGGCTTTTTGCTAAGTGAAATTCTTTCTCACCAAAATGTTGAATCTAACCTAACTCAAAATCACACGGAATTCCATGGCTTTTAAAGGCTTTTCAACAAACCCGTCTCATTTTATCTTCATAATCTATGGAGATTATGAAGAATGAATTTTCATTCCCTTTCTTCAGACTTAGAAGCTGAGGTTTAGTGAAAGGGAGTCTCTTGTGCAAGAGCACAGTCAGGAGGTTCCACAGTGTCAAAACTTGAACCCACGGCTCTCTAAGAGCAAAGAGACTCTTCTCTTCCCTGCTTATTCCTGTATCTGATTTGTGTGGAGGTTGACTCTGGAGCAAGCCAAGTTGGCTTTTGTCCTTTATAAGCTTCCTGATAAGAAGTTTCTAAGGGTGTGGTCTTCCAAAAAGAAACAGAAGTTTGAAGTCCCTATATTTTCAAGAATCTTGTTTTCTGTTACTGGGCAGTTCTGCTAATGGACCAATGCTATCCTGGGATGCCTCTGACCTAGAACCCTGGAAGCATCTTACATTGTCTTCTTCCCTGAGAGAACTGTTCCCCACCCACCAAGCTGGTGGGCAAGTCCTACCCATGAGAGCAGATTTGATCATTCCAGTTTTCTGGATGCATACCCATGGGTGATATTTGCTGGTCAGGCCAAGGGTTTTCAGATAGCCCAACAGAGTGAACATAATGCCAGGCCAGAAACTGGCACCTCCATCTTGCTGATGGGAGGAGCCATGGGCAGGCCAGACCTTGCTCCCACACTCTTCTAGGTATCTCAAGGACTGTGTACCCAGGAGCCCATGTGGTAGAGCACTGGCCCCGCCTTAAGAACAGAAGCAGGTATCCTATTGCTGCCTCAGCTTTAGAGGGACTTGCCACTAAGCACAAAGTTAGCAGAGATTTATATCTGACTTGCACAGACACAAAAGTATACAGACAGGGGCTGGGGCTGTAGCTCAGTGGTAGAACACTTGCCTAGCGTGTGTGAGGCACTGGGTTTGATTCTCAGCACTGCATACAAATAAATAAAAATAAAGGTCCATTGACCACTAAAAAAAAATTTAAAAATCATACAGACAGTTAAAACATTAATATAGCCAAACTATCCTTTGCAATTCGATGTCTTATAGCAACTTTGTGAATTACAAGTTTCCAGAATCTTTCTTCTCACATTTTCTGTCCTTGTTCATTCATCCTTTTAGGCTAATCAATAAGCACCTTATTTCTTATCTTTAAGATCATCAGCATGGGCTACTTTAGATGACCATCCCAGTCCTTAGAGCATAGTTAGGATTATTTAACTTACCTTTAAATCAAAAGTTAAGAAAAAGTAAGTTTAAAAGCAAAGGCACTGAATCTTTTCTTGACAATGGCAGAGTCCCTAGAGGTGAAAATTCATCCTGTTGCAGACAGAGAGAAAAGGTAGGGTAGGGTGGAAGGAGAAAGGAAAGAGAAAGGGAGAAGCTGGTATTCCTAGGCAGGGTAGTAAGCTGACACTGTAAATATCTTTACACAAAAATTTATTAAAGCAACAAATATTTCCTTAAGATACACCCTGGGTGAGGCTTTGTGTTGACTTTAGAAATCACTATTGAGGCAAGAATACATTTCTTGCATATTTCATTCATCGCTCTTGAAAAATGACATAATTCAAATCCTAAATTTAAAAGTCTTCAAAACATATGGAATTTTCTTTCTGATATTTTCAGGGTTTCCTTTCTGCCTTTGCCAGGATGTAGGCAGGGTATGGCCTCACTGGGTGTATGGCCCTCTGTGCTTGGTGGACACTGGCCAGGCTCACGGTCTGCTAAGCAGCGGCAGTGAGGAGGACTGGGGAATAGAGGGGCTGTGTGGCAGAGAGGGGACCCCAGCTCACCATGAGCTCCCAGTGTAACCCCTGTCTATAGAGTGTTGCTTCTGGCTGCACCCTCAGTGACTGTCCCCACTGGTCGACCCTGTGCTGTGTGGTGTGTCTTTTTCCCACTGATAATGAATAAAAGGCGTGACTGTGCAGAGAACTCCTGCTCTTCCCTACCCTGGGCTAGGGCTGGGGTGAAGGGGAAGGGAGAGAGGGGCCCACGGAAGTTCACGGTGGGGCCATCAGGAATGTGACTGGGATCAAAGTCATTCTGGCAGGAACTCTGATCACATGGCACAGGAACCCACTTGAGCTGTTTCAAAGAAAGAGGAGAGATGATGACAAGCAACCCTAAAGATGGAAAATCAAGAATGGTTGAGCCTCAAGAGAAAGGAAACTGGCAACTGGGCCTCTCCCTCCTCAGCTCTGGGTTCTGGGGCTCTTGCCCCCTGGGCAATATTTGCATCTTGCTCTTTTCAGAGGCTTCTCTTCAGACTTCCTTGAATTCTCTTCACAAACGGATATCAACTCCGTGTCAGGACTTACCTGATATCCAACTCAGTGTCAGGACTTACCTGATATTACTGATATCTCCCTTGTGTGTCTGTTCAATCCAAAGAATCTGCTTGGTTCAGCTCAGCTTTTAGGGGATCCCATAAGTCAGGTGTCTTCTGAGATCAGACTGGACACTGATGTGTGGGACCTGTGAGCAGAACAGCTCCCCAGAAGGAAGCCAAAGGTAGCCCATACCAGGAATTGGTTTCTCTCTCTGTCCAGTAGAAGGCATCATAAGAGCAGAAATGAGTGGATAGTGGGAAGAAAGAAAGGCTCAGAGCCAGGGTGACAATTGGTCCATATTAAGAAAAGGGACCCTCTCAGAGAGGAAACAGCCCCATGAGTATGCAGCCAGGCAGTGATGGGCTGATTAGAAAAAATACCCCTTTTCACAAATACGGCCCTGTCATGACAAGGCATGCAGCACAGCAAATGAAGCTAAGCTGAACCCCCACCTGCCCTGCTGTGTAGTGCAAAGCTTCTCCATTAATTACAGTCCTGAGACCCTCCCTAAGCTAGCCCAGGTATGGCGGGAGTAGGGTGGGGGTTGGCAGTCAAGCTCCCCTCTCAGCACACCCCAACAGTCAGAGAGGCACTAGTCTCTGAAGGGAATTGGGGGCAGTGGCAGCTGGAGGTACCTGTTTCCTTCTTCTATGCTCAATTGCTTTTACAAGGGTTTCTTCAAGGACACTTGGAGGGGGAGCTCCCTTGGCAGGAAGCAATTAGGACAGAGGAAGGAGGGTGACCTGGCCTCGGGGTATCCATGAACCTGAAGAGGTGATTCAGAAGTCTGGGAACTTGGGACAGTTATTTCCAGCTGAAACCATGCTGGGGGGATGGGAAGTGCTATCCCCTGCCAGCATTGGGGTATAAATGTCCTGAGTTACCTTCTCCCCAAATCCCTCATAGTTTCTTACCCACCAGTCTTGCCTTGCTACTTTCTGTCTTGCCCTCTTCATCATCTAGCTGCCACTGAGAAACCAGAATAATCTTCTTAAAACACACATCTGGCCATGTAGGATACCCACATTAATGTCCCTCAAGGTCCTGTGTGGTTTGCCACCAGCTGATCTCAGAAGACTTGTTCTTTGTCTCATTTCCCTCTCCTGTTCCCTGCACTTAAGCCACCCCGAACTGTCCTCCCCCATTCTCCTAAGGGGGATAGGGGGAAGTCTCTTAGGCCTCTGTGCAAGTACACATCATCTCCTCTCTCTGGGCCACCCATTCCTCAGCCTTAAGGATATCCTCCTGTGAAGCCCTCCTACCTCCCAACAATGGCCCCTCGTGTACACAGTCCATCATAATCCACAAACCTTCCCATGTGGTTCTCTGTGAGCTGAGCCAAGCACATTCAAGCCTTCATTTTAAAAAACAAAACAAGGAATCTGGGACTTCAACTTGGACCTCCTGACATCAAGGCCACTGCTTATTGTGCTTTCTTAGCCATGGGAATAAACCCAGTTCAGAATGTGAAAGAGAGGTAGCAAACCCTGAGCTCTGAGCTTCAGAGGAGGAAGAGTCTTGCCCAATGGTGGTATGAGGATAGGTAAGAGCAAAGGGGGGAGATGGTTTCATGGAAGAGGCAGCATCTGCCCAGGAGTCTTCCTCAGTTCTAGCCAACAAGACCAGGCAAGCTGGGCAGGGGTGCTCAAAGGGGTCTGTTCACAACTTATTCCCTCCCCAGAGGGAAAGTACTGATTGAAGTCCAGAGATACAGAGCCAGGGAATCCCTGTACTCAGCCAGCTATCAGGGAGTGAGAGGCAAGCCAGATAGGATGGTCAGATCCCCAGAAAAGTGGCAAGAACAGTTGAGGACCAACGTCTATAACCCTTCCAAGGGTCTAGGAAAATTCTTAAAGGGACTGAACCATGAATTGGGGCAGGATCCTTGATGGCAAGGAACAGAGCCTTACTCAGGTCAGCATGAGTAAAGAGGAGTGGATTAGTTAGGTCTTTTGGTTACAAGTGAACAAAATCCAACATAAACAAGTTTATGCAAAAAGAGACTTGTTGACTCATGTAATTGGGAAGTTCTGGCCCTGCTGGATCCAGAAACTCTGTATTACACCCTTTCTTATTTCCTGCTTCTGCTTTTCTCAATCTCTGTGACCTCACTGTCCTTCCAGATGGGCTTTTTTTATGTTCTTTCACCTGCCACAGGAAAAGATGAGTGTACAGCTCATATCCCAAATTAATAACCCCAGAGGGAAAAAAGAGCCAAATCTCCCAACATCCATATATGAAGGCCCAAAAGGGGTCACAAGGTCATCCCTGGATCAGTCACTGTGTGCAGGCAAACAATGGTCAAGTCTTTGGCACATGTTACTCCTTGTCTGGAGGCAAGTCTTATTATTAGAGGAAGCTTGGAAAGGTGGCTTGGTAAAACAACACCAGTGGCCACCAACTTTCTTCTTTGGTTGAAGCAATGTGGAGAATCCCTTGGAAATTTGGGGATGGGCACCTAGCCGGTCCTCCTCTGGGACTTGGGAAATTGTCAGGACCAGAGGCGGTGGCTAACTCTAAGCATTTCTGCTGCCCTCTGCATATGTTTTCCCAACTTTATCTGCTGGTTGGTTCACTCTGCTCATAGAGACTTTCTACCCCCATCCCTCTAACTTTACATATACTTACAGCTTGCTGAGGCTCATCTGAGTCTCTTGGGAACCAACTATATTTCACAGCATCCTCAATCATTCCTGAGTTCCTTTTTTCAATTCCAAATTCCCCAGAAAGAGGAATTGACTCGCCCAGCTCATCTTTTCAAGTCAATCATATAGGTCAAAATCACTGGGCAGCATGGGGTTGGTTTACTTTTGTGTCAAGTGCTCATCTTCATCCAAATAACCACAACCACTCTATACATTCTTCCTAAGTGACTTCATCTTTCTCCATGAAGATATTGGATGTCTTCCCAGATTTTATTTTTCTTTCTTTTTGTTTTGTACCAGGGATTAAATCCAGGGGCACATAACAACTGAGCCATATCCCCAGCCCTTTTTATTTTATTTTGAGATAAGTTCTTGCTAAATTGCTGAGGCTGTTCTTGAACTTGTGATCCTCCTGCCTCAGCCTCCTGAGTTGCTGGGATTACAGGTGAGCACCATGACACCCAATTAGACTTTCAATTATTTATTACTATGTATGCCAGACATGGTAGCTCATACCTGTAATTCCAGTGACTTGGGAGGCTGAGGCAGGAGGATTGCAAGTTCAAAACCAGCTTCAGCAATGACGAAGCACTAAGCAACTCAGTGAGACCCTGTCTCTAAATAAAAATATAAAATTGGGCTGGGGATGTTGCTCAGTGGTTGAGTGCCCCAGAGTTCATTCCCTGGAACCCCCCCCCTCAATTATTTATTACTATGTTACAAGCTACCCCAAAGCTTAATGCTTAAACCAACACTTTATTATTTTTCACAATTTCATGAGTTGGCTGGGTCCACCTGGTTGGTTTTTCACCTTCATGTTGACTGGAGTCATATAGGTGAATTCTGCTGGGGCAAGGCTGGGGCTGAAACAGCCAAGATGGCCTCACTCATGTGCTGTCACCTGGGAAACCCAGTTCTTCACTAGCTGCTGCTTCTTTTTGCTGTCCTTTGTTTGTTTGGGGTGCTAGGGTTTGAACCCAGGACCGCATACATGCTAAGCACATGGTCTACACTGAAATACATCCCCAACCTCTATACTGGCTTCTTATACTCCGTGGCCTCTTTGCAGTAGAATGGTCCACACTTCTTTACATGGTAGCTGGTTCCCAAGAGGGCAAAAAATGGAATCTGCATGGCCTCTTAAGACTTAAGCTTGGAAACCATATAACGTAATTTCTACTGCATTCTGTTAGTCAAAGCAAGTCACAAGGCCACCTCAGATAGGAGGAATGTTATCATCAAATTAGCAAAGGCAGGCAGGGTGGGAGAGGTCTGGGGTCATAACTAGAAATTATCTGCTAAGTCTTGGGAAGGACAAACACACATCCCCTCACTCCTATAACCTTTTTTGGTTACTATAATTTCCCTCTTTTTCCCAAACAAGGTTTGGTTGGTTCCTCCTTACATGGTGGAGGCCAGGAAGATCCCTCCTTTCTGTATTCACTCTTAGACTTCCTGACCTGTTCCTTGGAATGGGTGATATTCATAGTTCAGGGCTCTGCACCAAAGGGACAATACCGTGGAATTCCAAAAAAAAAAAACAAACAAACAAACAAAAAAAAACCTGCTTAACATTTGTTTCCTAGGCCCTACTTCTAAGCTCCCGCCTCCAGCCCCTCCATAACATGTAAATAACCACTCCCAATTCGGCAGGTGGGACCTGGGAACGCACGCCCTCTGCTGGCCAACAAGGAGCCAGAGAGAATCTGGTCTCAGAGTCCCAGTTTCTTCGATCTGGGTTTCCCGCTAGGCCAGGGCGCAGAAGAGGCAGCATCGCACGCACAGTGTCTCGACTGCCTCCGCCATGGTATAGAAGGGCTGCTGGCTGGATCTCCCACTTGCCCCCCCGCTGAGGAGCAGGTCCCTGTTGGTAGTTGGAGTTGTCCATCCACCTCCTCCTCAGTCCGCAGGATGGGGGAAGGGGACTGCTCAGGGTCCTAGGGTTCCAGCATTCTGG